GTGCAGTCCTTGGTCAGCGCTGCTGCAGCCGTGAGCCCAACGTAGCCCTTTACACGGGCACCGCACGTCTTTCGACGCTGAACAGACACGTGGAGAGGTGGAGAGAAGAGTGGTGACAGAGCAGAGACTGTCTCAGTCACCCCCGTGGCCACTTCTGCCCGGTGTGACATTTTACAAGTTGCTTCTCCTTCTCTGGCCTCAGTTATCTTATCTGCGACATGGGGGCGGAGGCTACAGCATGCCTAGTAGATTCTTCTGCACCCTGAGAGGGAGAGTTCTTATATATTTTTCTTTGTTTTGTTTTTTTTTTGAACAGAGTCTCGGCCTTCTTGGCGCCTTAGGCTAGAGTGAGTGCCGTGGCGTCAGCCTCGCTTCACAGCAACCGTCAAACTCCCAAAGCGCTCCTGCCTCAGCCTCCCGAGTAGCTGGGACTACAGCATGCACCACCGATGCCCGGCTAATTAATATATATATATATTAGTTGGCATTAATTTTTTTCTATTTTATGGAGAGACGGGTCTCGCTCAGCGACGCCCGGACCTGGAGCGAATCCACCCGCCTCGACTCCCGAGTTGCTAGGATATAGGCGTGAGCCAGCCGCCGGCCCCCATTTTTTCTATATTATAGTTGGCCAATTAATTTCTTTTATTTAAGTGAGAACCCCCGCAGGCTGGTCTCGAAACTCCTGACCAAACCGCCCGCCGCCCGCCCAGAGGCTAGGAACAGGCGTGAGCCACCGCGCCCGGCCTATTTATTCTTTTTAAATTTTTTTAGGCCAGGTGCGGTCGCTCACGCGGATTCCGAGGCACCTGGGAGGCCGGAGGCGCGGATTGCTCGAGGTCAGGATTCAAAACCAGCCTTGAGCAAGAGCGAGACCCCGTCTCTACTATAAATAAAAAGAAATTAATTGGCCAACTAATATATATAGGAAAAATTATCCAGGCAATGGTGGTGCATGCCTGTAGTCCCAGCTACTCGGGAGGCGAGGCAGGAGGATCGCCTTGAGCCCAGAGTTGGAGGTTGCTGTAGCGAGGCTTACGCCACGCACTCACTCTAGGCATGAGGCGACAACAGTGAGACCCTGTCTCAAAAAAAAAACAAAAAAAAACTTAACTGTTAAGTAGCTTTGAGAGTTCATAGGGTAAATGAACTGTCTGGTTTTCTGAAACAGCCTGTCTATTCCTCCTTAAAAGAGACTGAGGCGGCCGGTGGCTCACGCCTGTCATCCTAGCACTCTCAGGAGGCTGAGGCGGGTTGATGTTTCGAGGTCAGGAGTCGAAACCAGCGCTGAGCAAGAGCGAGACCCGTCTCTACTATAAATAGAAAGAAATTAATTGGCCAACTAAAAATATATAAAAAAAAATGAGCCGGGCATGGGGTGGCGCAGCCTGTACCCAGGCTACTCGGGAGGAGGCTGAGGCAGGAGGATCGCTTGAGGGCCAGGAGTTGGGAGGCTGCGTGGAGCGAGGCTGACGCCACGGCACTCTAGTTTGTGGCAATGGAGTGAGACTCTGTCTCAAAAAAGAAAAAGGGAGGCTGGGAAGTGATTGCCTACGACAAACTCCCAAGCTGCTGTCCCTCGGTGTTCTCTTGTGTTCTCGTTGTCTGCCGAGTCCCTGCCGGAAACGATGGCTTTGCCCGGCGGGTCGGGAAGGGAGGGACAGGATGCGGGAGAATCCTCCTTCTGCCCCTGTGCCAGCCGCACCTCACCTGCTTCCTGCCTGGGGGGGGGGAGGCGTGCGGGGGCCGGTGCTTCCGGAGAGTTCCGTGAGCCACGTGGCACGACGAGGGCCACGCCTGCCACCTCCCCGCCACGCGCCTGGTGCACCCGGCCCGCGCCAGTGCGTGTGGCTCGGCGTGGCCGCACGGTTGGCGGGGGCGGCATTGCTTATCCGCTGACGCCGAGCTGCTGGGGGGAGCTGTTTTCTTTCCTTTGGTGGAAGGGTGACAGGTGCATACAGACGGCGAAGGTGTCCTAGGGCCGGCCGGCGCGGCGGCTCACGCCTGTCAGCCCAGCGCTCTGGGAGGCCGAGGCGGGGGAGGACCACTCGGAGGTCAGGAGTTCGAGACCAGCCTGAGCAAGAGCGAGACCCCCGTCTCTACTGGAAAAAATAAAAATAGAAAAGAAATAGCCAGACAACTGAAAAATATATAAAATAAAAATTTAGCAGGCGTGTGACGCACGCCTGTCATCCCAGCACTCTGGAGGCCGAGGCGGGAGGATTGCCGGAGGTCAGGGAGTTTTAAACCAAGGCCTGAGCAAGAGCGAGAGGCCATCTCTACTAAAAAAAAAATAATATCATATATATGTAATAATATATATAATACATATATATATATATAAAGAAATGAGCCAGACACTAAAATATATAGAAATAAAAAATAGCCGGCATGGTGGCCGTGCCTGTCGCCAGCTACTCGGGAGGCTGAGCAGGGAGGATCGCTGGAGTCCAGAGTTTGGAGGTTGCACGTGAGCGAGGCTGACGCCACGGCATCACCTCTAGCCTGGGTGACAGAGCGAGACTCTTGCCCAAAAATAAAAAAAAAAAGAATAGGGGAGGCAGCCTCGATTCTGCGTTGTTCTCAGGAGAAGGTCTGTCTCATGAAGCTCATGTGATTGGGCGAGGCCCTGAAGGTGTGATTAAGCCGCGGGCAGCCAGGGAGACCAGGATGCGCAGAATGTCGCTGACGGAGACCGCGGTTGCCTCCCGGGCGCCCGCGAGCTAAGCCGCTTCTGCGCGTCTGCGTTGCAGGCTGCGAGGAGCGGAACGGCAGGAGGGCAGGGCGTGCGGGAAGGTGGGATGACGCCCGTGTTCAGCCAACGCCTGAAGGTTGCCAGAGCAAAACGAAAGGGAGCAAAGGAACACCCATTAGCCAAAGGTAAAGCGGGCCATTCTGTGAACGCCGACCTTTGATGTGTTAGAGAGGAGAGCGGGCCTGTGCGTGTTTGCGTCGACAACCAGGCCTCTGCGGTGGGCTTGGCCGGGACATGGATACGTGACATGCATCAGAACACGGTGCTAGCGGGCGCGGGCGGCTCACACCTGTCATCCCAGCATCTGGGAGGGCCGAGGAGGGAGGACGCTCGAGGTCAGGGAGTCGAGACAGCTGAGCAAGAGCGAGACTCTGTGTCTACTAAAAAAAAAAAAAAAAGGAAATTAGCTGGACGACTAAAAAGTATATAGAAAAATGAGCGGGCATGGTTGCCGCCATGCCTGTAGTCCCAGCTACTGGGGAGCTGAGCAGGAGGATTCGCTTGAGCCCAGGAGTGTGAGGTTGCTGATGAGCGAGGCTGACGCCACGGCACTCACTTCAGCCCGGGCGACAGAGTGAGACTCTGCTCAAAAAAAAAAAAAAAAACAAAAAACAAAAAAACATAAGGGTGCCACAGAGATGGGCAGTGAGGCCAGAAGTGGATCATTCATTCCCTCGTCTTCAGAGCCTTGCCTGTTCCTCCCCCGCGCAGCGTTCGTTCCTCCGGGGTTGTTTTTTGTCTTTCCCGTTCTTGTCACCTGTCCTCCCTGCGGGTGCGTGAGGCCCCGGGTGGCAGCATTGCCCGTCTGGCAGTAATGCTCATTGTTCTAGTCTAGCACCTGCCGTGCCACAAGCTCTGCTCGATCGACTTTTGGTCGTGAAGAATGAACAGAAAACAGGGTCCCGAAACTGGGACAGACAAAGGATCATGGCGCTAGAGGCTCAGAAACGGAGGGGGGCGTGGGGCGCCGGGGACCTGTGAGGCCCCCGAAAGTTAGACCCAGGGTGGGGCGGGCAATGTTTGCAGCTGCTCAGGAGAGTCACAACAGCAAGGGTGGCGCCGAGCAGGCAGTGCCACAGCGCTGGGAGTCGGAGCCCTTTTGGTAGCGGTTGGCCCTTAAGTTGCTGGATTGGGGAGACAGGCGGGATTCACGAGCAGGGTGTGGGCCACCGGGCAGCCGCCGGTCCACGTGGGGGACCGTCAGTATTTTCATTTCAAGCACACCCGACAGCGGTCCCCGTTAGGGCCCCAAGCGGAAGCCCCCTGGTGCAGCTCGGGCTGGCACCCCTGGGTGGCAAAGAAGAGCCGTGCGGCAAGGTTTGGGGAGACTTCGGAACGCCTTCAGCCTTCGCCCCAGCGAGGGCACCCTTCTGCCCCCGTTAACACCTGCAAGTCCTCCGCCACGCCTGCGGCGTCGAGTGTTGTGTTTTTGTGGGCCCATATGTCATCGCAGCCCGCATTTTGGGAGACCCGGATATTTTGATGCATGCATGCAATTGTGTAATGATCAACATCGGGCAGCTGGGGACACCCGGCACCTCTTCGTGTTGGGAGGGGTGTTTCCAATGACCGGGTTTACCGCCTGTGAGACTAGCAAGGACCAAACTGTTTTAAATGCTCTTCATCGGAAGACATGGACAAAAAGTCTGGTGGTGCACTGCTGATGAGAACGCCAGCAGGGCAATACTTTAGCAAGCTAACTGAACGCCATCAAAGTTCTGCGGGCGCGGTGGCTCACGCCTGTTCAATCCCAGCACTTCTGGGAGGCCTGAGGCGGAGATCGTCAAGGTCAGGTGGTTCAAAACCAGCCTGAGCCAGGGCGAACCCCGTCTCTACTAGAAATAGAAATTAGCGTGGACAACTAAAATATATATATAGAAAAAATTTAGCCGGGGCATGGTGGCGCATTGCCTGTAGTCCCAGCTACTCGGGAGGAGGCTGAGGCAGGAGGATCGCTTGAGCCCAGGAGTTGGAGGTTGCTGTTGAGCGAGGCTGACGCCACGGCACTCTAACCCGGGCAACAGAGTGAGACTCTGTCTCAAAACAAAAAAAAATGGTTAAAATGATACATTATATGCATATCACCATGATTTTTTTAAAGATATTGCTAAGAAGAGGAAAACTACTTTTTCCTAATAAAAATGTTAACAGTTCAAAATATCGCCCTAAAAACATCGCAGTGGTAGTTGGCTGTGGTCTTTGAATGGTCTCGGGGCCTGAAACAAAAATGCAATCTTTGTAAAAGAAAAAAAAACATTTCTATTATTGCCGTCTAGTGATGCCCTCCTACTCTCACTTGAAGTAGCCACAGACATAAGGACGAGGAATTGCTCGCCACCGCCAGGCACGCTTGTTAGACCCTTTTACGTGTGTTAACTCAGTCTTCAGCAGAACTAGGAGGACATGAGAACAGAGAGGCTATGTGACATGCCCCAGGCCACACAGCGGTGATAAGCAGGAGCTGGTTGGAGGAACCCCCTGAGCCACTGTGTTTTTGACACCGCCGGGACTCTGAAGATTTTAGTGTCGGAAGAGCCGTCTGTAAACCGTGTGGGCATTTCCGACGTGACCTCCCGCCGTGGTTACACTGAGAAACTTGAATGCATGTTGAGCGATTCCTTTTTTCTCTTTTCTCTCTCGCCTTCCTTCCTTCCTCCTTTCCTTCCTCCTTCCTTCCTTCTTCCTTCTTCCTTCCTTCCTTCCTTCCTTCCTTCTTCCTCCCTTCCCTCCCTTTCCTTCCTTCCTTCCTTCCTCCTTCCCTTTCCCTTCCTTCTTCCTTCCTTCTTCTCCTTCTTCCTTCCTTCCTTCCTTCCTTCCTCCTTCCTTCCTTCCTTCCTTCTTCTTCTTTCTTTCTTTCTTTCCTTTCTTTTCTCTTCTTCCTTCTCCTTCCTTCCTTCCTTCCTTCCTCCTCCTTCCTCCTTCTTCCTTCTTTCCTTCCTTCCTTCCTTCCTTCCTCCTTCCTTCCTTCTTCCTCCTTCCTTCCTTCCTTCCTTCCATTCCTTTCTTTCCTATCCTTCTGTCCTCCTTTCTCTTCCTTTCTGTTCTTTTTCTTTCTTTCTTTCTTTTCTTTTTCCTTTCCCTTCCTCTTTCTCTTTCTTTCTTTCTTTTCTTTTTTTTCTTCTTCTTTCTTTCTTTCTTTCTTTCTTTCTCTTTCTTCTTTCTTTCTTTCCCTTCCTTCCTTCCTCTTCCTTCCTTCCTTCCTGTCCTTCCTTCCTTCTCCTTTCCTTTCCTTCTTCCTTTCTTCCTTTCTTTCTTTCCTTTCTTTTCCCTCTTCCTTCCTTCTTCCTTCCTTCCTTCTCCCTTCCTCCCTCCTTCCTTCCTTCCTTCCTTTCTTTCTTTCCTCTTTCCTTTCTTCCTTTCCTTTCTTTTCTCTTTGTTCCTTCCTTCCTTCCTCCTCCTTCCTCCTTCCTTCTTCCTTCCTCCTTCTTCTTTTCTTACTTCTTTTCTTTTCTTCTTTCTTTTCTTTTCTTTCTTTTCTTTCTTCTTCTTTTCTTTCTTTCTTTTCTTTCTTTCTTTTTGCAGTAGAAGCTTCGTGACCCAAAGCATGTAATATGATTTGTCTCGTCGAACTGGGAAATTATTCTGAACATTTACCACTATTTACTGAACACAGTCATGAAGAGAGGCACAAAGGCAATGGCTACATGTTATAAAAAAGCAAGTTTTCTAGGGTTTTAGCAGGGAAGAGCTCTGGAAAGGAAAAATCCGTATCGAGATGGGGAAAACGTGATCCATTTCCTTCCCACCGAGATTCATGTCTCTCAAAATGTTAGGTTAATTTTTTTTTTTTTTTTAATTTCATGTTTACGTTCAAACCAATTTGGGAAACACTGAATCGAAAGGCATTAAACGGTTTCTTTTCTGCAAGAACCCCGGAAACTCAAGCACCACGAACTGCCGAGCAGGGGACGGGGTCTGTGTTATGTGAGACGCGATTGCTGCCTGGAGCTGTTTCGCCACAGGGCGCTTCTCCCAGGGGAACCTTGAGGGGTGACTCAGTGTTTCCCGGGTCACTTTTTTGGGAATCTTTGTACTAGGGAATTTTCCAGATGTACCACCAGAGGGCAGTTCGCCCTTCCTTTTGCATTCTGGGTCCACGGCAACAGCAAAAAAACAATGTTGTTTTCCATCCGCACACCTGAGACAGGCTGACATTTTCAGTAGACT